ATTATCATTTCAGAGTTATAAACATCTGTGAAACGTGCGGCAGTGAAGTGGTTAATGGTCCGAGTCTTACGTGCAGGAATGCACGACTTAGGAGTTAGATGGGGGAGGGTGAACTCAAACCGGACTGGCATGTGGTCTGAGAAAACATTATCACCAATAACAAGATTATTAATAGTCATATCATGAGTTAAAACAAGGTCCAGTGTATGTCCACACTGGTACAGTTTACAGACTGAGTTAGATTAAATGAGTCCAATAGATCTAAAAAGTCCTTAACCAAGGGCTTCTCAGCCAATAAGTCAGAAAACTTATTTATGAAATACTTAGATCGAGGTGGGCGGTAGATGAGTGCAAATAACGTCGCAGGTGAATGTCCGAGTTCAAAGACTGGCGCAGGAAACTAGGATGGGCAGTTGTTTACAGTCAAAAGTTGATTTGAATATTGTTAATAATCCACCACCGCGCCAGCCTGATGGCCGCGGGGCGTTAAAATACAAACAGTTCGGTGGCAGTAATTCCGTCAAGGCGCTGGACACACCCGGAGACATCGAAGTCTCTGTGATGCACAAAAAGTCCAGATCGTGCTCTTGAAAGTAATCCCTGAGGATAAAAGTTTTGTTGGTAACAGATCTTGCGTTGACCAAACACATCCGGATATTGTCCGAAGTGGAGCCAGCAGCGGTGGAGTTAGCGCGCGCTAATGGCCGCAGGTTTTCAATAACAGCCCCTCCAGGTCGGTCCGAGCTGCGCACCGGCTGACAACTCATGTTGGTTACCTGGTCTGGGCACACAGGAGAGGAAGATGCAGCACGCAGAGCTTTCAGCTTCACCAGCTGACCAGCACGTTTTCCCCGGCGTCTGAAGCGATATCTCCGGGCAGGGAGGTGAGGAGCGCAGCGGAGGTAATCTGGCACGTCCACAAGCAGGGGGTGGGGGGGAGGGGGGGGTCCAGAGGTATGCTGATAATGGTCAAAATAAGCGACTTCAGTGCCAGTAAAACGAAGATTCAAAAGTTGTTGTCTGTCATACACCTGCAGAGAGTTGATGTCACTGATGTGAAATGCAAAAAACAAAAATAATCCGAACACCATCAGCAGAGGTGGATTGCAAGCCATGTACACGGGCAACATATTACCGGAAGTATATATGTATTTATATGTATACATATATATGTATTTATATGTATACATATATATGTAT